GGTGGAGTTGCACGGTGTTGAAATTGGGCAAAAAAGTAGTGTTGGTGCGCCCAGACGCTAGTGCGAACAGACTTTTGAGTTAGTACTGTATGTACGCACATACGTATACCTCTTTCCATTCATGTTCGGGAGTGCCCGTCGAAGACCTTGGTCTACTACTACTGCTACTGCTGCAACATGGTAGGGGGCTGTCAGCCAGCCAGCCCGAGGTTCTCGTTCACGTGACGCTCCTCTCCTGCTCTGCTCTGCTCCGCTGTCCCAGCCCAGTCAGTCGATGACGGCCTGCAACCCAAGCAGGATGCTTCTCACGTGCACTTCATCGCCGCGGTGTCGGCCCTTGTCCTCTCGAGGCCGCGTCCCAGACTTGCATGGCCAAACTGATCCTCCACGTGGGATTGCACATTAAATCCGGATGGATCTCCAGAGCCGCGACGCTGCCGGTGCGCCATTGATGATCGTTGCCGCCAAATGGGCTAGTAGCCGTCAGGCACAGGGCAAGGGTCTACCCACTCCCTCAACCCCAAAAGACATCAATGACAGCCAGCGCGCCCCCCTCACCCGCCTTGCCTTTGTTGTCGTGAGCCTCTGGCAACGGGCTGCAAGATCCTCTGTCAGACGTGGAAGATGCTGCACGGCAGGTCGGCGGCATGTGTAAGTAACTTTCTCCCCCCGCCCACCCCCTGTGACTCTCTAGTCGTCCCCAACCCGGGACACGGTACTGTGAAACACCCTCCCCACACGGCTCGCCTCTGGACTACTATGCCGGCCCTCTGCTGTGCCATGCTCGGCCGTAGATGGTCGTCGAGACGACTCTGCTGCTTTGTTGCAACTGCTTTGTGCTGACCCCTTCTGTGCCTGTCAATCAGCAGCGTTCCCTCTCTTGCAAGCCCGGCCACTGGCTGGGAATGTGTCGCACCATATAGACCACCACCCCTCGTCGGCCTCACGCGAGCCCAGCCAAACGCGTGGAAGGGCACTGACAGCCTCGTCACGAACAATCACCTCCCGCTCACAGACGCCCGCCGTAAAAGGCGCAAGTAGCAGTTCGAGCCCCGACCGCACCCTGGCCACGCTCGAACGCAAGCCCTCGGGCTCTTACGCCCACAATCGCAATACCTCCATCGTGCACGGCATCCAGCACTCGCGGAACACCAGCTTTGTCAACTCGCCCGCCACGAGTCCCCTGAGCCCTCAGATCATCGCCGCTGCCGCCGGTGCCACCATCGATGGAGCCATCATGTCGCAAGAATCCATAGCCGATGCCTTTGCTGCAAATGGCATGCAGCCTGGCTCCGCCTCCGGGATTCCCTTTGCCAGCCCTCCCCTCCAGCCAGTCCATGCCGATGGCTATGCTCCTCTGCGCAAGCCTGAGCGGGCTCCCAGTTCGAGATCCTCGCGCAAAGGTCACAACCACCACCGCTCCCAATCCCGCCACCCCCAGCACCCCCATGAGCTCAAGACAGTGGGCGAGTATGCCCTACACCACCTCTTCAATTCCTTCATCAGCCAGGCTGAGCACAAGATCAACCAATGCACGACAGAAAGAGGCCAACCCGAGGCAAAGGTTGAAGGCGTTTGTGGTCCTGGGGTAGACCCAACCTTTGACCAGCTTATAGCCGCCCTGGGTCATATTGCTCGCCAGAAGCCTAAGCCCCTAATCGACACCATAATGCTATGGCGCAAGGCAAAGAGTGAGGAGGCGGCTAAGCAGCGCACCCAGCTACTCAATGTAGGCCCCCGAACTGCCTTTTGAGAGACGAGGACCTTACTGATGTATCCAAGGCACGGCAAGCCAGTCCAGTACCCCATCCCCACCCCGCCCTATCTCGGCGGAACACTGAGTCGACGCAACAACCAGATACCCAGCCCACGGCCTCGGTAGCCTCGCCCGCTGAGCACATTCTTGCACTACAGCATACCGTGACGCAGGCTGAGCAGCGCTCTACTGTCTCGACCTATATCCTCTGCCGTGTCTTGATTGAGATCATGACCCAGACCGATCTTCAGAATCTCACATTCGAAATGGCAGATCGCCTCCTAGGTCTATTCTACGGCCAACTCAGCACTGTAGACCCGGACTTGGTGGATATTTCGTCCCTCAACCTCGCGAATTGGACTATTTATAGTCAGTTGCTTGGTGTACTGAGCGGACTCATCTTCGAGCAGGTGCAAGAGAAATTCATCGCTGACTTGAAAATGGTGGACAGTCATCTGGCTGCAAAGAACCAGTACAACAGGGATCATGAGGCCAAGGGCGCTTTGTTGATCCGCGCGCTAAGGCACATGAAAGTCGAGTCTTACCCCGAAGACGTCTGGGACCGGACGTGCGACTTCATGCTTTCAATGGCAAAGCTCTTTACCAGCGCCCATGGACAGCCGGTCAAATATGCTTACTGCCAAGTGTTGAGGGAACTACTACTCCGCATTGCTTCAAAAGCGACCGTAGAGCTCAATACACCCAAATGGAAGGCCGTGATCGAGCTCATGAAGCAGCGCGCTGCCATATTACTCGGCAAACCCAAGCATTGGCATGAGGCGTTTCCACTCATGGCTGCCATCCTGTGTGCATCTCCTACCGACATATTTCTTTCCCAATGGCTCGCACTAGCCCTGTCGACTCAGCCCCGGCTCAAGGAGCGCACAACTAGACCGATTGCCCTTCGTGGCATTTGCCGACTAGTGTGGACTTACATATATCGACGAGGCACCGAGGCACCCAATGTTGCCGTGCGTCGACTAGACGAGATCATACGGATGGTGTTCCAGCCTGGAAGAAGATCTTATCTTTCCACCGAACCTGTGATAGCGGAACCTCTGATACAGCTCACACGCATCATTGGCTACAGGTACCAGGACCTTTGCTTCAAAACAATTGTATTTCCACTTCTTAACTCGGACATGTTCATGTCAAATCGAGAGCTGCGCGTCGAGAATCTCGAGCCCGAGCGTATGGTCATTGGAATTCGCTCATTCCTTGCCATCATGGCAGATCTGGAGAACACTGAGCAGCCGCCTTTTCCACTGACGTTTGATTACGATCCCAATGCATTGTCAAACGAGCTGCCTGCGCTTCCCAGTAGCCCGCGGCCTCCACAACCGCTCCCCATAAAGTCTAGCCTGCTCAAGGAAGAGCGTCTTTCGCGTCCCGTTGACTTTAGCGGTTTTACCGAGGTGGCCAAAGAGCACTATGTCCGATTCTGTAAAATTTTGGGCGAGATCACCATTATTTGCGACAATGCATTTGGTGGACAAGCCGTTCTGGACGAGAAGTTCTCTGTGCAGACACCAAAAACGCCCATGGCGGATGCTTTTAGCTTTGGTCGTCGCGAAGAAAACCTAACTACTACAGATCCTCGGCAAGGGTTTTATGATCTACTACACGTCGCTGTCCAGGCTTTACCTCGTTGCTTGTCCCCGCATATCCCATTCAACTCTCTCGTCAATCTCTTATGCACGGGGACGGCGCATGTTCAAGGAAGTATCGCAGTATCCTCGGCCCAATCCCTAAAGTCCATTGCACGACAATCTCATGCTCAGCAAGTTACAATTGGGTTTGCACGATTCATCTTTAACTTTGACGACCGGTATGCGACAATGTCTGACGGTGGTATGCTCGGTCCTGGGCACATTGAGAACACATTAAAGCTCTATGTCGAACTGCTCCAGATATGGATCGAAGAAATCAAGCGAAAGACGCGCAAAGCAGCACTGGACACCCCAGATGATGGCTCTGGCAATCGCGCTGCTCAGCTTGACCTCTCATCGGTATGGGCTCATGTGGAAGAGGTCGAGTCTCATGGTATTTTCTTCTTATGTTCACCTTCCCGCCGTGTTCGTTCTTATGCCGTTACCGTACTCCGCCTCATCACCGAGTTCGATACAGCTCTGGGAGGCTCAAACACCAGAATTATTCGCGTCATGGAAGGCAGCCCACAGAGAGTCCTTGATATCAGTGACGATACGTTGTCTCTAGCCGAGCGAAGTCGCCTACAACGAGGCATGCGCAAGAGCAACGTACAGAGCACACTCGTCGAGCTCTGTAGTAGTGATATACCCTACGACTCCACTTTGTGGTTCAAGATCTTTCCGAACCTGGTGCGAATCAGTTTTGAAATTTGTCCTTTTGCTGTCACGCTCACTCGAGACATTGTTTGCGCAAGACTATCTCAGATGTATCGGACTCTATCATCCCTGGCTGAAGGCCAGCGTTCAACCCCGTACTCGCCACACGAACCGACTAGTAATAAACCCAGTGGTCGCCTTGCCTCCACAGCGCCGGAGATTGTAGTCGAGCAATGGAAACTCTACCTCATCTTTGCATTTACAACATTGACCAGCTTGGGTCCAACAGCCACCTCAGCCACACAGGGACATCATTCACGGAAGAGCTCCAAGTCTTCACAGACGAGCACGACCAAGCTGCACACTGCTACGGAATTGTTTTCCAAGGTCTTGCCATTCCTTTCTGTGGAAAATGGCGCCATACGAGATGCTGCTGTCATCGGCCTTGGGTCTGTCAATCTCAACCTCTACCGCACGCTACTAGAGTCCCTTCAAGGGATCGTAGCTGCTTGCTCAGAGGAGGCTAAGATGCGTCTGGGCAACCACAACAGGACCATCAGCAACCCGCGGCCGATGAACTACCGAACCGACCATCTCCGAACTGAAATTACGCATGTATACAAGCTGACAGCGCAACATTTTCTAAAGTCACCCGAGGCCTACAATGATGAGTGGATCATCAACAACCTGATGAACTACACAAAGGACCTTAGGATCTTTCTCAGCGACGCAGAAGTTCAGCTTGAAGCACGGTATCAGAAGCTGCGCACGCATTACTGTGGCCTGGTGGAAGTTCTTTTTGTGGGTATCAATAAAACAGCAGACCCTCTGCACTGGATGCCATTCCAGGCTCGAAAAGCTGCCTTTACATTGATGGAAGACTGGTGCGGATACTCTGCGAACCAACATCAAGTCCGACAGCGTGAGGAACAGATGCGCCGTACTATTCTCGACCGGGAACTAGACACAGCCAACAAGGGCAGTGCGACAGCAGCGCTTGAAATTGAGAAACGAGACCTTCGGACCGCTGCTTTGAGTGCCATGGCCGCATTATGTGGTGGGCCTGTCAGTATTACCACTGATAGCAAGGTTTTGCTGCAGTTCGATGTCATGCGCATTCTTTCCTGGATACAAAGTATCTTCGAGACACCTAGTGACCGGACGCACGCTATTGGTCGCCGGGCGCTTTCCAACCTCATTCTTCACAATCGTGAGCATCCATTTCTGCTGGACAAGGCAATCGAGATGTGCTACCTCGCTCCCTCTGGGAAGGCCCTCTACAGCTATTTCTCAGTGGTTACCCAAGTTCTTACACAACACGAAGACTACACCTTGCCGTTCTGGAAGGTGCTGAGTGCAGGCCTATATACACTGGGCCATGAGAACAGCGAGATACGTATGAAGTCTGCTCGATTACTGCGAACACTCGAAGCACGTGAGGGAAAGAATTCCAAGCTACAAGACCTCGACATCAGCATTTCGGACAAGACGGTCGCTGTATACAAACTTGCGCAGTTTGAAACGTCACGTAGGCTGGCCAAGCAACATGCCGAGCTCGCGTTCCTGGTCTTCTCGCAGTTCTCATACTATTTCAAAGATCTTCAACCTGATCACAAACGCAACATGGTCGCCGCTATGCTTCCCTGGGTACAATCAGTCGAACTACAAGTCAATCCGGACGGAGGACCAACGGCAAACTCCTACATGCTTCTGGTCAACCTTTTTGAGATCACTTTCACTTCCGGTAATGTCCTACACAATGAAATCCAAGCCCTCTGGCAAGCGCTGGCAACTGGACCCTATGGCGGTAACGTTCAGTTGATCCTGAACTTCGTCATCAACCTCTGCTTGGACAGAAGAGAGCAGAACTATGTCGATTACTCTAAGCAGATTGTCGTCCACTTATCTACTACACCCGCTGGTCTGAAAGTAGTCGAGTTTCTGCTGTTACAGATCAACCCTAGATCTATGGTGAGCGAAAAACGCGAACCTTCGCCACCACCGCCTGATGCTCTGAATCTTCCGTACCTGGCCGATCTCACAAAGGTTTTGCCTAGCAGCAACAAACAGGTCCGTATCCACACCAATCCTTTTATTATGACAATACTAATCTCAACAGTCGGGCTTCGCTCTGGGCCAGGTTTGTCTAATCTTGCTAGTAGATCTAATGGTCTCTCCTGTCGAAGTTGCAAAAGAACACATTCCTCTGCTTCTACAGGTGGTCCTGGTCCTATGGGATCACTATACACCTGTTGTACAAGACCAGGCTCGCGAAATGCTCGTGCATTTGATTCACGAACTTGTCATTTCGAAGATTGAGGACGACACACCGGGCATTGACAAGAGGTCTATCGAAGACTTTGTTGAAGGCATTCGACAACGCGACAGCAAGGTTGTGTGGAGCTACGATGATGAGAACGGCAAAGCTGCGGTCGACTCAACCACAAAAGTACCTGAGCCAATGGAGTACGTTTCCGGGGAGGTGATGAGGTTCTTCTCCTTTGCCTACCCTGGGTTAAGAGAAGCATGGGGAAGAGTAGCATTGAACTGGGCAACTTCCTGCCCTGTTCGACACATTGCATGTCGATCATTTCAGCTTTTCCGTTGTATTCTGAGTTCGCTCGATCAGCAGATGCTTTCCGACATGCTGGCAAGACTTTCGAACACGATATCAGACGAGGAAAGCGACATCCAGACCTTTTCGATGGAAATACTCACAACACTGAGAACCATTATTGAGGCACTGACACCAGAAGATCTTATTCAATATCCACAGCTCTTTTGGACGACATGTGCCTGCTTGGACACGATACATGAGGGCGAGTTCATGGAGAGCTTACTCATGCTGGACAGGTTCCTTGACAAGCTTGATCTAGGCAACGAGGATGTTATCCGGACATTAGAACAAAGTTGCCCAGAAAAGTGGGAAGGGAAGTTTGAGGGCTTGTCCCAGCTCACGTACAAGGGTATCCGATCAAGTCTATGTCTGGATCGCTCTTTACGGATCCTGGAGCGACTGGTAGTCTTGCCTTCCAGCCGTATTGTGGGCGACGACAGCCGACTGATGTACACCGTCCTCGGAAACTTGCCAAGGTTTTTACGTTCGTTTGATTCATCCGTACACAGCAGTAACACAAGAGCTACTGCTGAAGTGCTTGCCCAAGTCGCTGAGCAGCACTATCAGCATACATTGCTTTCAGAGGCCCTGACTGCTTTTGCAATGGGAAGGTATCGTCATGAAAGGGACTTTCTTGCGCAGACCATATTGGCAATACGTTCATCATTCTTTCCTGACCATGAGTTCGGCAGCTTGGTCTTCCTTCTTGGTTTGTTGATGAACAAGATTGACTGGATGAAGATCAACACAATGGAGGCCCTGTGCCTCTTGCTTCCGGAAATTGACATGCGCAAACCGGATATGACATTGAAGGGTTCTGATCTCTTTTCACCACTCCTTCGACTCTTGCAAAGCGCATACTGCCCCCAGGCATTGAAGGTCCTCGACTTCGTTATCAATCTCAACATGACTAGCACGCTCGCACCATTTGACAAACAACATATACGTATGAGTATGGCAGGTTCGCATTCGACCAGAGGGTACAAGAAACAGTTTGAAAAGACGCAATCTCTTTATGGTATTCCTGAAGAGAGTGGGTGGTCGATTCCAATGCCTGCTCTGCATTCACAGTTGACGAGAGCAAATGTCCATGCTGTTTTCTATACTTGCGGCAACTTTGGCGAACTGCATACGCCTCATACGGAGACGCCCAAGGTGGAGTTCCGCCAGGAGGAATTTCCTTTCAGCCCCTTGTCTGATTACCACCGAACTGCGACCATGACATCCGAAGACACCCGTGGTGATAGCCACATCGGGGAGCTGGTCATGAAACTAGACAGCCTCGACGACTTTTTCGAAGACGATGATGATGCTGAGACGCTAACTGATTTGCCCAACTTTTCATCTTTGGGACGTTCTGCAAATGGATCATACGCTCACGACATGCGCGAAAATCTATACGACCAGCAGACGGCGCCCATCCTGCACAAGTCCCTGACACGTAACGCTTCGGTAACATCATTCCAATCTGGATTCATTTCTGACGTAAAACTCTCGCCAGCTCGGGACCCTGGCGTCATGACACCAGGTGCTTTCAGCTCCTTTGCCGGCCCTGCCAATTCCGCTTTTCCTCCAGCAAGCAATCCTTCACGTCCAGGCGGTCTCCATGCGCGTTCAGTAACTTCGCCATCCGCACCAAACCAACCCCAGCGTATTTCGCCCTCGCTTTCATCCACTGCCTTGGACGAACAGAATGAGACCTTTTCCGATGACGAATATGCCACCGGCCGATCCAACAGTACCGATAAGGCCAATACGTTTCATCTTGACAATATGGTCAAACCCATAGCACAGGATGCGAGGAGCCGGTTCAGAAGCGGCATGCGGAGACTTACTGGAGGGGGTGGTGACAACAAAGACAGCGCCAAGACGAGAGAAGCGATCAAACTGGCCCTGCAGAAGAGCCCTCAAGTACCCAAGGTGCCTGACATCTACCTTGTCAACCCCAAGAGTGCGGATCTTTGAGATCTTGGAGTAGGGAGATGAGGAGTATGCTTTTTTTTCTCTTCATGATAGCAAACTAGGGCGTGACAAGATGTGCATGTATGCATTACATAAGAAAGGTATGGAAGGCTTACGGACAAAAGCGAGTACGAAGCGTAATGTTTTTGGAGCAATTTGAGTTTCTCAATGTAGAGGAAAGAGGAAAGAGATGCAGACTGCTGCATGCTGGTGTGCGTAGTTTATCTTCTCTCTTTTTTTTCATGTCGTAAAGATACCTGAGGCACTTGTGTTACTCTCTTTCTCTCTCTTTTTTTTTATCTTTTTGCTTAATTGCTTGTTAGCTTGCTTGCGAGATACCACGGTGCCCGTTTCCAATCAATGATATTTAATAGTCCTCTTTCTGACACAGGTTTTATTTCGACGCTTGTGCTGTGATGATTATGATTTTGCTAGACGAAGGGGTAAGAAGGTGAATGTGTTGGTCGATCATGGTTCATGGTCTCGCGGAGCGAGATCGTAGTGTACTTGTGCCGAATAGAGTTCTCGTATGGTCGGATTTCCCCTGAGTCGTTTCTCTGCAGTCACAGTTACGCTCTGGGCACCATGACGCGGCGGCGTGCAGAAGCGAAGTGTGGCTGTTGGGGCCGGGACGGCGGGGAAGCGATGCATTGCATGATTTGCACGAGGGGCATGAAAAGGGAAGTGCGGGGAAGCGCGTATAGTATGAGCATAAGGATAGCTTGCGCGCATGATTCTCGTGTGTATATGCTTGGCGTAGTGTGACATCAGAGCATATAGGCCGGCAAATACATAACAAGTTAAGGGGCGGAAGTGCCGAATACTTGTTTTGAGGCAGAACAAGTATTTTTTTCATAGCCTGGATTGCCGAGATATAAAGTTTGGTGGCATCGTTTCGCAGCACATGTGTATACACTTGGCAAACGATGGCGCAAACACTGATGGTCAAGCACTTTCCACTAGTTCGCCAACACACTCTGAGACCAATATGAGGAAGAGGATATTGATATAAAGTTTGCACGGAGATCATCTTCTACATCTACTGTGTAAATCCTGTAACGCGGGGAAAGCGAAACGCCAGTCAATGTCGGGCTACGACAACTTTATCGCGGACTGACTTCGGAGCCATCACATGTAGCTTTCAGCAGAAAGAAAAATGGCGTGACCGTTTTCCAGGGACGAACGTGCTGACCGTGTGCGGAAACAAAAAAGAAATGTGAAAAGGAAGAAAAAAGCAGAAAAGGCACGGTAAAATGAAGTGCCATGACGCGTGTCTGACAGGGCATTTGATGATCTTCAGGCAAGACCGTTGCATTGACGACCCTGGCATCCCGCTGTTGTGTGGACGCCTCCCGGCTCGAGACATGGGCATCCCCTACAAAGCTGACCAGAACCGTTGAACTGGGTCAGTCTCGCAGATTGCAGTGACCGAAACCGATTCATAGTGGGCGAGTCGCATATCTCGAAGCGGTAAGCTAGGGTCTATCTCGGATGTTAATTGAAACCGTGGCGCTGACGATATGAGTCCAATGCAAGGCCATGGAAGTGCGAGGCTAGTATTTCTATGGCCCTGCCGTCTGCAACGCGCTAAGGTGAAATAGCGACTGGGGCAGCAGGGGGACAAAGAGAAATCGGAGCGACGACACACACACACAGACCGCATCATCGGCGGTGGCGCTTGTACCAGGACCATTCTACATACCCCACGATGTTAGTGCGTTGCACTGTGCTGTAACTGAGTGACACTCTGAACCGGCGTGGCTGAAATCTAGGCGTAATTCGCCGGAAACATGTCTTTGCCGAAACACATGCTCACCGCTGTGACGAAACGCATTTTGGTGCTGACTATCCCAAGGCCCGAGCAATGTCATATTTGTCACATGGACCACAAGACTTGCTGGCATCAGACCAATGCACTGATATTGCGTTCTTATGGGCGCCCGGGGGGAATCACCTACATATATGTGTAAGTGAAGCGACACACCTTCCCACGGCCATTTCAAGACCTCTCTTTTGTTTTTTCTTTCCTTTTACCATTCCCCCTCGTTTTGACAACGCTATTACATCTGCGTGCAGATAATTCAAGAAAGACTTTTTTGAGAAGAAGAAGCTCAGACCCATACCAAAAGGAAAAGAAACATAATACATACACACCAAACGTCACCATGTCGACCGCAATCGAACAGCTCGGCGCAAAGATTTATCTTATTCACACACCACAACTGCATCGACCATTCCTGACCACTGTGCCCTTTATTGCCGGCGACTTTGTGTCATGGGGATACCGGGTCGACCAGCATGCATCAAACTCTCCGTACATTGCTGAAATACGCGCGCGCGAGAAGAAGCAGCATGCAAACCGCAAAGGACGAGACGTGAGCCAGAGGACCAAACTGATGGAAATATGGGCACATGAAATCATCGAAAGAAAGAAGACAGAAAGAGAGGCGAGAAGACAAAATTCAAGACGAGGAGAAGGAGAAACAACAACGACGGATCTGGAAACGAGCAGCCCATGCATGCACACAGATCCCCGGATGAAGAAAACAGGAGACTTTGTCCAAGACTTCCTCGGCGGCATCGTCGAAGTCGGTGAGTTGCAAAACCACGCAAAAAGAATAAAACCATATGACGGACTGCTGACTGAAGAAAAAAAAAGGGAACGAAGATAACCAGGACATACCACCTTTGAAGAAAACACCAGAGACACAACCCGAGACATTGCGAATCCGCGACCACATCCGCTACCTATACGCCATCCGCTACGTACCCAACGCACCCTTACCAGACTGGGCGCATCCCACCGTCACCTACGCCGACATGGTGGTGCTCGAGTACCGGCCACAAAAGACCGACATGCACGACCACTTTCTGCGTGCGCTGGGCAAAGCGATAGGCAAAGACGAAGGGAGAATGGGCAAAGTGGAAACGTGCATCAAGACGGGGGCGATGCGAGTGTCGCTGTGGATGGATGTTGGGGATGTGATTGGGGAGTGGGCGATGAGCAGACAGGGAGATGTCGAAGATAGAGATCCCGTGCCCAAGTACGAGAGGGGAGAAGGGCCACCGGCGTATATTTAGAAGGGGGAGGGGATGATGGGATGAATGAAATATAGATGGGGGGGAGGGTATGCATGGGGGAATTTTCGCATAATACCGATGGTAATGCTTAATTCCATTTTTTATTTCACAATATAGAACATAGAGCGTAAAATGTACATAAGCAGCAGCAGTCACTGTATAAGGGGGGGCGGCTTGTTGCTAACCAGGTTAAAACTACTGGAAGGAAGAATTGCAGATCGAAGTGAATGAAATGTTGGATTTATCGGTGGCTTCTCGTACCCGTGTAATGGGCAGGCCTACGATCGTTCGGGCAAAATGACCGGATTTTAATGCGTCGCCCGGTGGTATTTTTGGTCACGTCCCAGGGAACGCATTTGCCAAAGGGGCAAGTGTAGGAGCCAAAAGCGTGTCTAGTTGGTGGGCAGCGCAGTCGTCGTCATCGCGTCAGCCCGTGGATTGGTGCAATGTCCGAAGGCCGTCGAGTGATACTTTTAGCCGGAGAGCAGGTCAGTCAATCATGTGTATGCTTGGGGGCTGGATGGAGTGATGTTTGGATGGGGGCCAGAGGTGGAAAGACTGCGGACTTGAAGCACAGTCATCCACACGGCGTTTCAGAGGCGTGGCTATGCATAGGCAATGGCCCCAAAATACGAATAAACACACCCCCTAAATGTCGACGCCAAGCCATGACTGAGCAGTGGCGCCGCTGCAAGGCTTGCCGCGGGCCAATGACGGCGCGAGAATGGGTGGTAGCGCAATGACGGGTGTCAGGGCGGGCGTGAATGGGTGCGGGCCCTAAAACTAAGTGGGGCAGCGCCCTCAGCTCCTCGACTATTCCCCGGTTCTTGCTATACCATTTATCCTTCTCCCTCTTCTTCCTTGCCTTTTCCCACACTCACTTTTCTGCATTTTTCGTCTTAAACCCTAGTCACTCACTTGCCATTTTTCCATATTAAACATGCGTTTCACAACTGCTCTTGTTCTCGCGGCAACCGCCGTCACCGGCGCTGTCGCCCAGGACTCCTTTGTCTTGGGTTTCAACTCGGGCGCTACTGACGACAAGGGCAAGGCAAAGACTCAGGCCGACTTCGAGAAGGAGTTCAAGACTGCCCAGAACCTCAAGGGTGCGCCTGGAAAGTTCAACACCATCCGTCTCTACTCCAACGTTCAGGCGGGTACCACCGATACCCCTATTGCCGCTTTCCCGGCTGCCATTGCCACAAACTCCAAGCTGCTCCTTGGTGTCTGGGCCTCGGGTACCGACAGCATCGACAATGAGCTCAAGGCCCTGAGCTCCGCCGTCGAGGAGTACGGCACCAAGCTTACCGACCTCATTGTCGGTCTCTCCATCGGTAGCGAGGATCTCTACCGTGTCTCCGAGCCCGGTATCAGGAACAAGTCCGGTGTTGGTAACAGCGCCGAGAAGATTGTCCAGTTCATCAAGGACGCCCGCAAGAAGCTCGAGGGTACCCCCCTGAGCGGCGTCAAGATCACCCACGTCGACACCTGGACCGCCTGGGTCAACGAGTCCAACAAGGCCGTCATTGACGAGATTGACTTCCTTTCTGTCAACGCTTTCCCCTTCTACGAGGTCGAGCACGACAACAACGTCAAGAACGGTGGCAAGCTTCTCGCCAGCGCCATTGAGGCCACCGAGGGTGTTGCAGCTGGCAAGGACGTCTGGGTCACCGAAACCGGTTGGGCATACACCGGTCCCGACTTTGGCGCCGCCGAGTGCAGCGTTGACAACCTCGAGTACTACTGGAAGAACGTCGGCTGCGCGCTCTTCAACAAGAGGAACGTCTTCTGGTACACTCTCCGTGACGCCAACCCAGCCAACGAGGTCAAGTTCGCCATCACCGACAACCTGTCCACCACCGCCCGTTTCGACCTCACCTGCGACAAGGATGTGACCCTTCCTTCCGCCTCGGCCGGCAACA